TGATGAAGGGTCTAGGCCCGAAACGTCAGCCTTTCTGCTCCTCTGATGCTGCTTGGCCTGCTGTGTTCATCCAGCTCTGCACCTTGTTGTCTCAGTGAATCTGGTCGTGTTGTGTCTTGCTGTTGAGGTGTGTCTCAGAGGTAACGGTGGATTGTGCTTTTCGGGTATCCATTCCTTTTGAAGACCATATATGTGCTTCTCTTCTGCTTTGCGTAGTTCCGGGTTGCTGCAATGTGTTGTGGCTCGTTTAAATAGTGTTCTGATGCAGCTCCGTTTGCGGGCGTTGGGGTGGTTGCTGGTGTAATTAAATATGTGGTCCGTATGTGTGTGGTCTTTCTATGTACGCTAGTCTGGAGTTCCCCGTTGTTTGTGCGTTCTACCATTATGCCCAGGAAGGGTAGTCAGTTGTTGTTCGCTTCTTCTTTTATAAATTTTATCCCGGTGAGGATGTTGTTTATGTGTCAGTGAGTTTCTTCTAGTTTTGTGTGTTTAATAATCACAAAAATGTTATCTACATATCGGACCCAAAGTTTGGGTTGTATCGTGGGGAGCGCTGTCCATTCTAACCTTTGCATTACTGCTTCTGCAGTCAGCCCTGATACTGGGGATCCTATTGGTGTTCCTTTGATTTGTTTGTATATTCTGTCATTGAAGGTGAAGTGGGTTGTGACTTTGAAAAAAACTTCAAATTGTCCTTCCTTCATAACTGATCTGCTGAACATTGCATACACTGACTGGCATTAGAAACGTTTCAGTATATTGCATAACTTTCCCTACATCCAAACAACGTCTATTTCCAGATGTTTTCTATGAGCAACACAGTGCTTTTCTAACAAATGTTTGATTTCAGATCATGAGAATTCAGCTTCTCTGCTTTTATTTCCAAGTATAACAGATGTCTGATGTAAACATCACCATTTTCTGTAAATCAAAGTCATTGTTCACATAAAATTGTTTAATTGTCAAAAGTAGGCCTTGTTGCAAGCAGTCGTTTTTAAAATTCTATCAAAGTCAGTCTTATAAGCAAGTTCAGAGTCTGGTTGAAACTTAATGTCTCAAATCAATTTTTTGTACTGAAAGATCTGTAATTTTGTCCATTATCAACGTGTCAAAACACAATTTGTGCAATCAGCTAGGAACTGTCTCTGTATGAAGCAGATACGCTCTACAAATTCTTGCTGCACCAGCCCTCAGTAATTGCTGCATATTTCACCACATGACCATCAATGGCTTCATGGAAAGCTTGGGGGCTGTGATCTTTATTGCAAGTATGACATCAATGACAATTTTCTTGCCAGCTCTGGTGAGTGGAGGATCCTGGGATTCGTGGGCTGTCCATCGGGCACATGCTCATTTGGGTTCTGGAGGATGACTCCCTCATTCACCTTTCAGATATGGCTGTCTGTTGCAAATGATCACGAAGTGCACATGACTCATTTTTCCAGTCAGTCCTGCAGGTTCATTGCAACTAGTCAGAGGATTAGCAGTAAGTCAGTCAGTCAGAGAGCTGGTCTGGCCTTGGGGCTGATCCACGGTCAGACCGAAGAGTCTATTCACTTGAAGTCAAGGAAGGTTCTCAGGGGTCACTGTTGTAGAGGGCAAATTCAGGAAGTCAACTGTGGTATTTAGAGGTAGCGTGCTGGATGCACAGCGGACAATAATTATGAAGTAGGGGGAACTCTGTTTTCAAGGTTGGGAGATGATTGAGCATTGGAAGGCACGGGTAACTGCAGGGGTGTCATTGACAATTACTGCTACCCTGACTTTCATGGGGGTGATAGTGCGTCATGATGGTTGGTACTGTTAAGTTCTATGCCTGGGTCTTGGGGCAAAGTGTGGTGATTAAGATTTAAAAGAAGAGTTAGCTGGGAATGTGTTGAAGGTCAGATCTAATTGGGTTGACAGGGAGTGCAAGGAAGAAAGGAATACCAAGGTTTAGGGAGTCACCTACAATCAGAGGTTCAACCTGCAACTCATTCTGTAAAGCATTTCCATCTTCATCTGAAAAGCTAATACACAGCAGAATTGACGAATGGCTACCATCACATCTTGAGTTTAAGTAGGTAATTTTCTATATGAGGGAGTGGGTTCTACTTGTGAATAACATGAGGCCCTTCAAGGGGCAATTGCATTAATAAGGCATTTACACAATAACAGTTAAGGACATCTGTAATCAGAGAATTGTCCATGTCAACTGCTTAGTTTTAAATGAACTTAAGAATAAATCCAAACAAGATTGAGTATTTTGTTTCAAATTTATTGAGATAAATTAGGAGGAATAAGTATAAGTATAAAAGTAGTTCTAAATTGTGATGTTGCTCCTAATCCGTTGTTACTGATGCAAATGCAGGTTTGAACCAATTACACAATAAAGAGGAACACATAGACTCAATATAGAACATAGAACAGTACAGCACAGTACAGGCCCTTCAGCCCACGATGTTGTGCCGACCTATTATCCTACTAAAATCTACCCTGCATACCCTACATTCTACTATCCTCCATGTGCCTATCCAAGAGTTGCTTAAAAGTCTCTAAAGTATCTGACTCCACTACCACTGCCAACAGTGCATTCCACATGCCCACCATTCTCTGTGTAAAGAACCTACCTCTGACATCTCCCCTATACCTTCCTCCAATCACCTTAAAATTATGCCCCTCCATAATAGTCATTTCTGCCCTGGGGAAAAGTCTCTGACTATCCACCCTATCTATGCCTCTCATCGTCTTATAAACCTCTATCAAGTCATCTTTCATCCTTCTTCACTCCAATGAAAAAAGCCCTAGCTCCCTCAACCTTTCCTCATAAGACCTGCCCTCCAGTCCAGGCAGCATCCTGGTAAATGTCCTCTGCATCTTCTCTAAAACTTCCACATCTTTCCTATAATGAGGTGACCAGAACTGAACACAATACTCCAAGTGTGATCTAACCAGAGTTTTATAGAGCTGCAGCATAACCTCACGGCTCTTAAACTCAATTCCCCTGCCAGGGTTTATAAGAATGAGGGCTGTGACTAGTGGTGTTCCACAGGGATCAGTGCTCAGACCTCCGCTGTTCATGATCTACATAAAAGATTTGAAGGAAAACGTAGCTGGTCTAATTAGTAAGTTTGCAGATGATACAAAGATTGGTCAAGTTGCAGATAGTGAGGACTGTCAGAGGTTACAGCAGAATACGGGTGAATTAGAGGCATGGGCAGAAAAATGGCAGATGAAGTTTAATCCAGACAAATGTGATGATGCATTTTGGAAGGTCAAGTACAGGTGGAAATTATACAATGAATAGCAGAACCCTCAGGAGTATTGATGTGCAGAGGGACCTAGGTGGGCAGGTCCACAGATCACTGAAGGTGGCAGTGCAGGTAGATAAGGTAGTAAAAAAGGCTTATGGCATGCTTGCCTTCACTGGAAGGGGCATTGAGTATACGGATAGACAAGTTATGCTGCTGCTTTATTTGTCATTATTGAAATTAAACACAACCACTGAGCAGGATGGCTAGATTGAAAGTTGATTGTTTTATAAAATTCACTAGGTAAAACAATTTGTTCAAAAGCTGAAAAAAGATAATTTTCTTTATCCCAGATTTGATTTAACTTTTTTCTAAAATAAAGGAGTAGAGGGCTGGGATTTTCCTTAACACGCTGCTTTAAGGGGAGATTTCACAGAATAGTGCAGAATAGGAAATCATCTGTTCCGTCATGTCTATGCTGGTTGTTTCAAAGAACAATCCAGTTAGTCCCACTCCCCAGCTCTTTTCCTCTTTCTCTGCAATGTTTTCTGTTTACATTCTTTTCAATCCCCTCTTGATTTTTATCCACCATCCTATCAGGTAAGGCATTCCAAATCCTAATTATCCAATGAGCAAAAAGTCTTTGTTCGTGTCTGCCAATCATCTTAATATGTGCTTTCTTATTGACTGTGAAAACTGTTTCTTTTTATTTACCCTAATTTCAATTTTAAAACACACCAACAAATCTTTTCCCAGTCTACACTCAAAAGAAGAGCAAACCATAACCATCAACATAATCCTTCATTCCCAGAATCACTCTAGTATATCACTCTGTATCTTCATGTTCTTCCTAAAGCGTGGTTCAAAGATTGAACATGATACTACAGCTGGGGAAGAATTAGTATTTAATGTAAGTGTAGTGTCACATCTTAGCTTTCATACTCTGTGCCTCTTGTTTATGAAGCTTAAAATCCTATATATTAACTCATTTCCCCATTTCTGAAGAAGGGTCCAGACCCGGAATGTCAGCTTTCCTGCTCTTCTGATGCTGCCTGGCCTGCTGTGTTCATCTAGCTCCACAACTTGTCATCTCAGGCTCCAGCATCAGCAGTCCCTACTATCTCTAAATATTAACTGCTTTGTTACTGTGTTTTACTACTTTTGACTTATGCACAAACACCTCCAGATATTTCTGCTCTTTCACCTCCTTCAAAAATACCATTCAGCACCTTCTTTCTTCATTCTTCTTTGTTAAAAAGTACCACTTCGCATTTTACTGCGTTGTATTTCAAATACTATTTGTCCAACAACAACAAAAACAAAGTTGCTGGAAAAGCTCAGCAAGTCTGGCAGCATCTGTGGAGGAGAAAACAGAGTTAACGTTTCGGGTCCGGTGACCCTTCCTCAGAACAGAACCATTTGTCCATTCTAACACTACCTCTTGAAGACTTCTACTGTCTTTCCCACTGTTTACTACTTGTATAGAGTAAAATCAGCAACACTGATAACCATAGGACACAGATTTTAAACTACTTTGTAAAAGAATAAAGGGGCAGAGAGATTATCTTTTTTAAAAAGCGAGCGGTTATGATACAGACTTTTAAGTGTCATAGAAACAAAGTTGACAGTAGCTTTTCAAAATTGAATGGGAATGTGCTTAAATAAGCAAGTTTGCAGAACCAAGATAAAAGAAGAAAATAGCAGGAACTGGATAACTCTTTCAAAGAGCCAGCATTAGCATGATGGGATGGTGAGTCTCATTCTGCACTGCATAATAATGAAAAACATTTCAAAAACATCTCTGTTTATTTCTTCATATATTAAAAACCAGTTCCATACCCAGCAGCAAGGAGGAAATCTTAGCAGGTGCAACAATCGCAAAGAATGAGCAAAATAATCTGTTCATTTTTATCAGTGGAAAGATGTAAAATTCTGTCTATTGGGGAATTTCACACTTCTTTTTTGGTGTTCGTTGGAAAATGCATTTCTCAATATACTAAGGATGTTTGTTTTAAATTCAAGGTTAGATTGAAATGCACCTCATAGAAGTAATACTGTCTTGATTAATGCAGTGGAACAAATATGTTCAAAAAGTAGCAATTTAATACACTTGCATGCACAAAGTAGTGCGTGGTTAGACTCTACACATTGTAATATAGAACACTTCTTCATAAATTCCTACACAATCATCTCACAAATATACGCAAGTATCAATTTCTAATATTCAAATAATGTCTATTCTTGCTTCATTTGCATTTCTCACATTTTTGTTAATGTTAATTTGCTTGCACGATTTTCATCTATTTCAGTATTTTCTTCTTGACATATTGACTCCCAACCTCCTTGCAGATAATTTTTTCTCATTTCTCTGTTTATTTTGACTTTAAATGGTCTTTTAAAGAATCCACACTAAAGGGGGTAGAGAAGAGAAGGGAAAAGAATTACGAAACTATAGATGAATTTCTTACTTCTTGATATTTGCATAGTTTGTCACTTAAATTTCTCACATAACAATGATATGAAGATGATTTACTGTCACTTGTACTCTACGATGAACAAGGGGGAGGCCATGGCCTAGTGGTATTATCGCTGGACTTTAATCAAGAAATCCAGGTAACGCTCTGGGACCCAGGTTCAAATCCCACCATAACAGATGGTAGGATTTGAACTCAATAAGAGTCTAACGATGACCATAAATCCATTGTCAATTGTCAGGAAAAACCCATCTGGTTCACTCATGCCCTTTATGGGAAGGAGACTGCCTGGTCTGGACTATATGTAACTCCAGACCCACAGCAATGTGGTTGACCTTTAACCACCCTTTGGGCAATTAGGGATGGGCAATAAATGCTGGCCTAGCCAGCAATGCCCTCACCCTGTGAATGAATTGAAACAAAAAGGCACAGTAAAATACAGTGAAAAGCTTATGGATACTGACCGAAGGAGCAACTGAAATAGTGTCCTAGTCTTGATCAAAGAAGAAAACTGAAAGTGTTATTATTAACAGCAGAATTTTCTGGGCACAGATTGGCTTTAGCAATCACCCATAAACCCCCAGAACCACACAAAGCACCCAGATGATCTGCCTTTTTAATTCTTATATGGGACTTTGGCATGACTTGCAAAGCCCCATTCCTAATTTCACTGGAACTGATTGGGTCCCTTGGCCATTTCAGAGGGCAGTTATGAGTGAGTCACATTGCTGCCAGGCTGGAGTCACATGTAGACTAGATCAGTTAAGGATGGCTGGTTTCCTCACCTAAAGTGACTCAAGTAGGTTTTATGACCCGATTTTTTTTTAGAAATCAAATTCCAATTTCAATATCTGCCATGGTGAGATTCAATCCCATAAATGTAGAGTGGGTTAAAATCCAGCCTGATTTTTGGATTATGAGTCCAGCGACATTACCACTATGCCACCACCTCTTCAAAGAACCAACAGGCAACCAAAAATGGCATGGGCAAGACTAGGATACACTAAAAATTAGTGACTTTGAGCAAACATGATTCAGGTCTCCTACACCTCATGGACAAAGGAAAATAGATAAAATTATTTATGAAGTAATAACAAAAAATAAAATCGTATGTCTGAATGTAAGCTCACTTCTAAATACTGATTTGTTTTTCCAGAGTGGACTTCCATCTTTACCCATCTCGAATAAACAGGATAATTTGAACAATTGAAATCTACCGACTGACAAATCTATTCCAGATCCTACTATTCTTAAACTTTTTGAGTTGGGATTCTGATAAGGCAGATAATCCACTGTCCCAAAGCTGGCAGTGTCCTTTTGCTAATACCGAATGTAGACTGGCGTATGGTACCATCATTGGGTCCAGTCTGCAGTTTTAACTGTGCCATAAGTGTGGCAATCCCTACCATTTTTTATCCTGCCAGGTTATGGCCCATCAGAGAATGACTGATACCAAAAGAGGAGATTGACAATAACTTCATAGATGAGCAGCAGAATAAGATTTAAACAGAAATGCAAATTATTGATGTTCTTTGTTTTATAATCTGACAAAATGAAAACAAGAAGGAATCAAAGTGTGCAATTGCATTTCAACAGTGTTCCTTAAAAAAACCCTTATTGCTTAGTGCATACTTTGACATGAGAAATACCTGTGCATTTAATATCAGAAAAATAGGAATCACAAATTTGTCTTTAAACAGAAAATTCCAGCATATCCGGCAGCATCCATGAAGAGATAAACAGTTAATGTTTCAGGTCTCTAACCTTTTATGAGAAATTGTTATACGTAGAACAGGTTTTAAGCAAATACAGAAGCCGGGAAAGGAGGAAGGAGTGTAAAGTGTTCAAAAAGGTCCATGATGCCTTCCATTGTGGATGGTAGGAGAGATTAAATGGCAGAACAGATAACGATGCAAGGCAAAAGGAAGATAAGTAATGACGTAAAGAAATAAAAGAGGCAATAAATAGGAAGAGCAGAGTAATTACAACAGCTGCTGTTTGAATTAAATGTGAGCAGTGGTTATTATCTGAAATTGTTGAACTTGATAGAGTCCAAAATGTTACAAATTGTAAAACCTAAATGTAAGGTGTTTTACCTTGAGGTTCCTTGAAGAATGCTGGAAAAGCAGAAGCAGCCAAGGACAAAGAAGAATAAGTTTCAATTGTATTTGACTGTAGAACTGGATTAATATTAGTCTTACCTTGTAAAGCAGGAAAATGCATACAAACAAAATGACAATCCCCAGCAACAAACTCATTCCAAAAATCAATACTGCCACTTTAAATTTTGGTTTTCTATTATAAATTGCTTCCATGGTGACCTAGGAAAAAGATGAGAGGTGAGTTAATGAGCAGGAAGAGAGTCATTAAGCCTGCAAGACTAACCAGAAAGCATATGTGATCAATATAAATAGAATAATAAACCACAACTACTTGTATTCATATAGACACTTTAAAATAGTAAAATATTCCAAAGTATTTCTCAGGAACAGGCTTACAGGACATTCTTATTTGTTTATCTTTATTGAAGTGCCATGGGTCCCCACATGGACCCTAGTTATGCCTGTCTCTTCATGGGGTACGTGAAACATTCCTTGTTCCAGTCCTATTCCGGCCCCCACCGACAACTCTTTCTCCAATACATCAATGATATCATTGGTGCTGCTTCCCTCTCTAGTCCGGAATTGGAAAACTTCATCAATTTAGCCTCCAATTTCCACCCTGCCCTCACTTTCACCTGGTCTATCTCTGACTTCTCCCTTCCCTTCCTCGACATTTCTGTTTCCAGTTCTGGGGTTAGACTCATATCCATTACAAACCCACGGACTCCCACAGCTACCTGGACTATACAGCCTCACACCTCACATCCTGTAAAGATTCCATCCCATTCTCTCAGTTCCTCCGTCTCCATCGTATATGTTTAGATGAGGCCAACTTCAACAAAGGAGCCTCTGAAATGTCCACCTTCTTCCTGAACTGAGGATTCCCCAGCTCCATTGTCGACAGGGTCCTCAACCAGGTCCGACCCATCTCTTACACTTCCACGCTCAGCCCTTCTCTTCCCTCCCGCAACAGCGATAAGGTTCCCTTTGTCCTTACCTACCATCCCACCAGTGTCCACATCCACAAGATCATCAGACACCATTTCCGCCACCTCCAGCAAGGTACCACCACCAGACACATATTCCCCTCCCCTCCCTTGTCCGCCTTCCGCAGGGACCGTTCCCTCTGAGACACCCTGGTCCACACTTCCTTCACACCCAACAACCACCCATAGCCCTACGGCACCTTCCACTGTAACTGGCGAAGGTGCAACACCTGCCCATTTACCTCCTCCCTCCCCAGTATTTAAGGGCCCAAACATACCTTCCAGGTGAAGCAACACTTCACCTGCACTTCCAAGAATCTCGTCTACTGCATTCGCTGCTCACAATGTGGTCTCCTCTACACTGGGGAAACGAAGCGTAGACTGGGTGACCACTTTGCAGAACATCTACGTTCTGCTCGCAAAAAAGACCCTGAACTATCTGTTGCCTGTCACTTTAATGCACCACCCTGCTCCCTGGCCAGCATCTTGGTCTCTGGCTTGCTGCAGTGTTCCAGTGAAGCTGGAAGAGCAACATTTCCGCTTGGGGACCCTACAGCCCTCTGGACTCAATATCAAGTTCAAAAATTTTAGGGCCTAAACTCTCCCATGTCTCAGCCCCCTACCCCACACACCAGGCCTTGTTACCACATAGCCTGCCATTACACATTATCTGTTGTTAATCACTAATGGTCCCCATTAACAACTATCCATCCTCCCAGCCTGATCGTTATCAGCTCTTTGTCTGTCCAATAGCTCTTCTCTCTCTTTAGGCTCTATTCTATTGTTTACTCCCTACCCTAACCCCCTCCCTATTTTCTGCGTATAAAGTGACGTTTTCCCAGCCACCATCAGTTCTGAGGAAAGGTCACCGGACCCAAAACGTTAACTCTGTTTTTTCCTTCACAGATGCTGCCAGACCTGCTGAGCTTTTCCAGCAACTTTGTTTTTGTTCCTGTAAGATGCATGTCTGCAATGAGTGTCCAGTGATGGAAGTCACATGACCATAGCAAGCCAGGAAGCACATTAGCATAGTATTGCATTTCTGTCCAAAACGTGTGTTTTCAGGCATTCTATAATCTCACCACTAGTCACTGAAATCAGTTGATCTACCATCCAGCACACTTTGACTGTTACAGCATTTCAGTTATGTGATGAATGACAGTGGCCCTCAGTTTGAGTCAAGAATTCAGCCACTTCATAAATGATTGTGAAATTCAGCACTACATGTCACCATTACACTATTCCCTAGTCAAACAGAAAGGCTAATGTGGCCCTGAAAATTGCCAAAGGAATCGTGAAAAAATGAGCAAAACCAGAAGACTTGTACAAGGCAATCTGGGATTAAAGAGGTCTTTTTCCAGTTTCTTCCATCTTTGATATTGTGTGTCATCACTGGCTTTCTAGCTTGCTTAACTTGATATTCATTACAAGTAGAGCATTGGTTGATGTGCTTTCTTTCCTAATGTTTGGCCACTGGAGTCCTGTTCATCTTCAGACTTGACTCAATTCCTTAATGGCTTATATAGATGCACTTTAGCACCTTTCCTCTCAATTCCTTAGGGATAATGGCTCTATTTCCTTTCTACAACATGTCATCATTCCAACTATGTACCCAATATACTTGTGAGATCACATGAATGTCCTTGATGCATTCAGGCCATTCTTTCATCAGAAATCCTTGCAACACTTAGTTGCATCTTGCTGGATAGATCACTTGTAGGCACTTGTCTATTAGATTCAATGTTTCTGCTTGTTGATGACTTCCCAAAGATTTTGAACTGTTGCTTCATTTTAGTTCTGGGAAGATTTATTGTCATAGTATTCTCCTCTTCCATCACGGAGTCCTGGTCTCAACAGAATATTAATGATATACATCTATTTCATGTGCTTACATGCCACATCCAGATGATATTTTTGTAACCTGGGTAACATTCTTTTCAGGCAAATACTAAATAAAAACCAAAAGAACTGCGGATGCTGTAAATCAGGAACAAAAACAAAGTTGCTGGAAAAGCTCAGCAGGTCTGGCAGCATCTGTGGAGGAGAAAACAGAGTTAACGTTTCGGGTCCGGTGACCTGAGGAAGGCATTCTTTCTTCATCTGAGCATAGTGCCATCAACACACTGGATATCATTACAACTGGGTTTTTTTGCTGCATTTGGTTTGCTACACAATGCAGGACGACTTCATCATTTACATCATAGCATTTCAGCATTGGTTTGTTGTCGTCATAAGTTGCATGATTTTAGTGGAACTGCTATTTGTTCTGTGCCCCAAAACCACTGCATAGCTCAACATAATGGTGCACACTCTAGCAACAAACTGGGCAAGAAAATTGCTAAATAGGTGATGAATCCAACAAATTATTGCAGCAATCACTGGCAGTGTATTGTTGCAATAACTCTCACCTTTTTTGAGATCTGAGCAAAGACACAGTGCTATCAGCATGTGACATGTATACCTGAATTCAGTCATCTTTAACTACGCTTTTTTCTTGTTCAGTTTCAGGTTCACTGGCAATCTGTCTCTCTAGCAATCACACTAGATTCTGATCATAGTCTGTAAGGCTTCTTCTCTTGAGTCTCCATATCCAAACAGCTTTTTGAACCATCTGTATCTCCCAAATAACATCCAGAATGTTGTTAAAAAGCTTCTGCTTTCATCATGTTCACTTGCCAGTAACCATCCTTTGCATTTTGTGTAGTGAAGACTTTTGCCTTTGCAAGTTTTGGCACTCTTCCTCAAGTTCCTTTGATGGTTGGCACTGAGTAGCGAAATCTCTGCAGAGATTTGCTTTGATTTTTTGGGTTTGTGCAGTCTCTCAGCTTTCCAGGTTGCTTCACTGCTACCATGCTGCTAATCCATTCTGGAGATGTTGTCACTTTGCTGTTCATTCCCTTCTTTTCCAGCTCTTCCCATCTTATGTTCCAGGATAGCCTTGAGGCCAGTTGGAATTTTCCTCAGCAGATGCTCAATTGGTCTTAAACTCATCTAGTTTGAGATGATTTTCTCCAGGAAGACATCCTAAACCTGAAAACACATTGTTGTACTCCTATAGGATTTGTTCCAGCTGAGATAAGTGGCTTTTGCTTGCTTTCCTCTCAACATAAATATTGTGCTGTTATTTAGTCTTAACCTTACTTTCCACAGCTCTGTTTTTGGATCACAGTGCCATGTCGAGCCATATTGCACAGGTCTGTGAATGTCCTGATGCTGTTGATCCGAAACTTAATCATCATAGAATCCCTACAGTGTGGAAACAGACCCTTTGGCCCAACAAGAGTACACCAACCCAGACCCATCCTGCATAACCCACCCCTGAACGCTATGGGCAATTTAGCATGGCCAATCCACCTAGCCTGCACATCTTTGGACTGTGGGAGGAAACCAGAGCACCCGGAGGAAACCCACACAAACACGGGGAGAATGTGCAAACTCCACACAGACAGTCACCCGAGGATGGAACCGAACCTGCATCCCTGGTGCTGTGAGGCAGCAGTGCTAACCACTGAGCCACTGTGTCACCCCAAATGTTGATTTGATGTTTTCCTCTGCAGTCATTAGTCAACTGTCACAAACCATCTATCACCTATCAACCTGACCGAGCTAACCTGTTGAATGGTCTAGAGTGATTCACTAGACTTTAGTTTTGACAGAATCTTTTGTTCGGTCTTCACGGAATAAATCATAGAATAGAATCCCTACAGTGTGGAAACAGGCCCTTTGGCCCAACAAGTCCACACTGACCCTTGCAGCAACCCACCCAGACCCATCTCCCTATAGCCCACACACCCCTGAACACTACAGGCAATTTAGCTTAGCCAATCCACCTAGCCAGCACATCTTTGGACTGTGGGAGGAAACTGGAGCACCCAGAGGAAACCCACGCAGACACAGGGAGAATGTGCAAACTCCATACAGACAGTCGCCCAAGGCTGGAATTGAACCTGGGTCCCTGGCGCTGTGAGGCAGCAGTGCTAACCACTGAGCCACTGTGCTGCCCCAAATAACCTCTTATGTTAGGGAAATGAGGGGCTAGTGAGGGGGAGCAACTGAAGGAACTCAGTATTAGTAAGAAAATGATGCTGGAGCAATCAACGGGGTTAAAGGCTGATAAATCACCAGGTGCAGATAATCTACATCCCGGAGTACTAAAGGAAGTCGTCTTGGAAATATTGGAAATATTAGCGGACTTCTTCCAAAATTCTGCAGACTTTCAAGCAGTACTTACAG